CCTAATGTGAAATAAAGGATAAAATAATGTAACATTTTGAACAGGACTTTAATTTCTATTTTCCACTCTGTAACAACACCAAGAGAACCAGAAATGGTCTCTGGAATGGTTCTCCTACAAAGACCAATATTATCGCTGAAGGTCCAGAAGAAGTGCCAATCCCACCACAATGCATTGTCTGAATTCCTTATCTATTACAAAAAATGTTTGGAACTGAAAACTTTCCAGTTATGATGCTTCAAGAAGCTCCTCATCGCACACACACACACACACACACACCCATGAACTTCCAGCCTGGAACCAGCAATCTGACTGAATAATGTATCTTATTTGTGTATCACTCGGCTGTAGATCCTCCAATCATCTCTGAATTGGTGCTGACACTGTCCTTCCTTCTGGAGGGGGGGGGGCTACTATTGTTCCCCATGGTCCCTGTGTGTGTTGTAAAGTAGTCACCGCTCCATGCTCTCTCCCATGATAGACTCCAGGAGGTAATCAGCCTTGGAACCTCACAAGATCCCACCAACCATGCATCAAGAAGTCCCCAAACTGGAGCCTGATTATTGACATACAGGTCCTTAATCAGGTCCAGCACTGCCACACAACGTACCTGAAGACACTTTCTCTCTTATGAAATAAGACTCACAAATGATCGCTCTGTAGCTATGGCATGCCACCAATGCTTTCTTCATGAGCCAAGAGACAAAGGAAGGACTCTAGTGCTAGGGACTGCCAGTTTGTGTTATTCCAGCAGCTGGATGCATTGCTGGACCTGCTCCCATATGCGCATTCATACCCACATACTCTAGTACAATTTACAGGAATGCTCAAGTGGTCCTCTGATACCACAAAAGAGCAAAGTATCAGTATCCCATTAAGAAAACCACTTCAGACTTTCCTGCATCAATGCCCAGCAGGATGGTGTCTATTAGGGATCCACCGATACTTAGTATCGGTACTGGTGGCGAATATTTAGGTGAGTGACTCGCTGCCCAGCTTCCTGGTTGGTCGTAAAGCTGGCCAATCAGGAAGCCGCGCGCCATGTAATAACATGGCACCCGGCTTTCTGATTGGCCAGGAAGCCGACGCTACCTAGTGAAGAGAAGCATGGAGACAGCTTCCCTGCTCATCAGGAAGACAGGTGACGAGTCATTACACACCGCCTGGATTCCTTAATGGAACTTCCGCTATTGGTATTCGTTATTGGCGAGTGCCCCCACCCCCCCCCCCCATTTTTTTTTTTTTTTGGGGAAGTCCCCCCCCCCCCCCAAATATCTGTACTCATACTCGATACCGAAAAAAACGCTATCAGTGCATCCCAAGTGTCCATAGCTTCCTGAAAACATCCTTGCCTGGCCTGGCTCTTGGAAGGGGTTTAGCAAATATTAAATTGCGTTGATGGATGGTTGTCAGTTTGGAGCAGTGGGCTGGCTCTTCTGCAAATATCAAACTGCTTTGATGGAGGGATGTCAGGTAGGAAGGGATGGATAAACATGTTTAAGGTCAGAAGACTCGTCTCATAGCTCTGGTCCTCCAGCCCCTCCCCCTCCTCCTTGTCTCATAGCTCTGGTCCTCCATTCCCCTAAGGGTATTGTTTTATGTTAAAAAATCTGAGGGTTTAATGCCACTTTAAATCAAAAATGGTAATCTTCTTTTTGTTAAATGAATTTCACTGGATCCTCAACTTACCTCACATCTCTTAATACAACGAAGCTCCTGCGGAGGAGGATACCACTGACGTCTTCCCGTGCAGATAATACTCTGGAAAAAATAAAAATGTATCAAATCAAGCTGTGCGTACGTTAAAAAAGGAAACAACATGAGAAATAAGTTGCTAAAAAAGATAAATGTCCATCGACATATGCAAGAAGCCTGCGTGGGAACGTGTGAATCTCAAATTGGAGCACCACACCGTGATATTCAAGTCCACATACAAGTTTAATTCAATGACAGATTGTTTATTACGGGTTTCAGGGGCTTTAACATCACAACTCAAGAAAATAAACCAAGACGTACTATAGGAAGAAGGCAAGCCGGCAGAGGCAATATGATGCTTTCTGCAAGGACACCTTGGGTCCTGCCATTCATGTGGATGTTACTTTGACACGTACCACCAACCTAAACACTGTTGCTGACTAAATACACCCCCTTCACGGACCCGGTATTCCCTGATGGTAGTGGGCTCTTTCAACAGGATAATACACAATGTAAAATGGTTCAAGAATGGGTTGAGGAACGCAGCAATAAGTTTGAAGTGTTGACTAGGCCTCCAGATTCCCCAGATCTCAATCCAATCAAGCACCTGTGGGATGAGCTGGAAAAACAAGTCTGATCCATGGAGGCCGATCACCTCACAACTTACAGGACTTAAAGGAGAACTATGAGGTGAGTGCTTTTCACTCAGCCTCATAATCGGAGCCGACCTGTGACAATGAAACTGTCACATGTCGGCTCAGTAGATCAGGAAGTGAGCGAACACATACCGGCGCTCGCTCACTTCTCGATCTATCCCCGCAGGTGAGCCGTGACAGGGGAGTGACTGGATTCCCCCCTCCCCTGTCCCATCCACCAGCACTGACTGGCGGAACGGACGGGGCGGGTACAGCTGGCTCTGCCTCTAGATGCGTCACTCACGCAGCTGGGCGGATCCAGACATAATTGTCGGGTTCCGCTCCGGCTGCGGCGTCTCAGTATAGCGCAAGCTGTAGCTCCCTATATACTGAGCTTTGGGTAACGGGAGGATGCTAGTTTGTGTCCTCCCGTTACCCTTCGGAGAACTATGGGGAAAAGCCCTAACCCCATAGTTCTCCTTTAAATGATCTTCTGCTGATGACTTGGTGCCAGATACCACAACATACCCTCAGGTGCAACACATGGCCTCCAGATTCTCCAAATCTCAATCCAATGGAGCATCTGTTGGATGTGCTGGAAAAACAAGTCCAATCCATGTAGGCCGATCACCTCATAACTTACAGGACATAAAGGATCTACTACTGATGGCTTGATGCCAGATACCACAGCATACCTTCAGAGGTCTAATGCGGTCAATGTTTTGATGGGTCAGGGCTGTTTTGGTGCCAAAAGGGGGACTTACACAATATTAGGTGGGTGGCCACAATGGTATGGCTGATCGGTGTAGAGTTGGAAGCTGTTAATGTTTTGTGAGTTTGCTCACCAAGTAGGGCAACGTTGCTGGGTAATATACCACAATATAAAATGCGTAGTCCCGATCAGCAATGTTCTAGCATATTAAAGCAGAATTGTTATACTGCTAATTCGATTCATGCGTAATCATAATTTATGCTGTAGAATACAATATACCAAATGTTGCATCACTCAACTCAACCCAACTCGAAAAAAAAAAGATCAGCGTAAATGTTAACAGTTTGCAGTCCTTTCTCGAGCCGGTCTTTGATCTGAATACATAATGACGTCAATGCATTGTACATTTTTTTGACGACCACTGGTAACAACAGTTGCTATAGTAACACTTTGGGGGTTTTCACGTATAATGTAACTAGTTTTATTAATACCTCTAAGAGGTTTAAGAGATAAGCCAGTTTGCATACTTGCAGCGGTCCCAGCTTGGGATATTAAGACAAAATTGTTAATGTGTTATAGTTAGAAAACAATATGGGTTATAGCTGGAGAGTGGGTCTGATTGCAAAATAGCCTTCTCATTAGATTCACAATTAACAACAACAAAAACAGATGTTCCTGTAGCGGCCGCAGCATAAATGATCTCATGATTATGGTACCGGTGGGGAACTTGGAATCACAGAGAGAAATTCTTGAATAGGAAAGCAAATGAATACAAACATTCAAAAACTTAACACCAGCCTTTCTCAACCAGGGTGCCGTGGGACCCTGGGCTGCCTTCTGGCATTGTCAGGGGTGCCTTGAAATTGTTGCTAAAGAGGCGCTTCCAATGTGATGGGGGGGACGGGGGACTCTGATGTGAATGGGGTGACTCGGAT